CTGGGGGGGGCCCGCGAGCGGAAAGGCGCGGCGGGGAGAGGCGAACGGGAGGAAGGAGGAGGAGGTGATGATTTTTTCCACACCAAGGAACGCGCCAGCTGCAGCGCGCTTCACCCGCAACGCCGTCTCTCTCACTCCTCCCCGCCCTCCCAACACATGAGCAGCACCTGGGCCACAGCGCGTGCAGCCGTCGTTTTTGACGGGCACCCATTGGGCACCAAAACAGACCCCACGTGCGCAACGAGCGGGCGAGGTGCGCCAGGCGCGCCAGGCGTGCCAGGCGCGCCACGCGCGCCCGGCACCCTTGCGGCCCAAACGCGCCGGGAGCGTCTGGTGCGCGAGGGGGTGGAGGGATCCTATCCCGGCGCGGCCGAGAAATTGGAAGCGGGTGCCAACACGCAGGCGGACTCAGGCGGCCTCCGGCAGGGAGAGGGGGGGCGGGGAAGGGAGAAGGAGGAAAACGAGGAGGAGGAAGACCAGTGTAAACCCAAGAGTCATCAACGATGTTGGAATGCACCCTCCCTCCAAGACAACAGTTTGAAGACCTTGAACATGCCTTAACATTGTTCTCGGGATCCCAACGCCACGGAGCAACCTGACAGCTGCGTCCTGCGTCCTGACGATGTGGAATCGTGTCAGAACTCTGTTTTTGGGAGCTCAAACCGCGAAACCACATAGTTGTTGAACCCACATAATCTGGAATCCTTCCAAGACGTTTGTTCATGGTACGTTGATCATGCGAACCCGTGAAGCTTTTGCAGAGATATAAAATGAATGTGCGCGGCGCTGAGGCGAAAGCCACATTTTGAAAAGGAAACCTCTGCAAATGTTTAAAACGTACGTGCGCGGCGCTTGGGCGAGAACCACATGTTGAAAACGAACCGCCGTCAATCCGCGAAACCCCTGCACACTTTGAAAACAAATATGCGCGACGCTGGAACGAGAACCACATGTTGTAAACGAACCGCCGTCAATGCGTGAATCTTTTTGTAGATTTGTAGAACGAATGTGCGCGGCGCCAAAGCGAGAGCCACATTTTGAAAACCAACTGTCCTCAATCCGCGAAGACCTTGCAAATTTGTACAACGAATGTGCGCGGCGCGAAGGCGAGAGCCACATTTTGAAAACCATCTGCCGTCAATCCGTGAAAGTGCTGTCACTGTGTTAAGTTCAGAATCATTATAGTCTGAGGCAAAACGCCCGGCCCACCCTAAAAACTGGCCTCGGGGTGCGACAAGGAGAAGTTGCGTATAAGGGAAAGGAATGGAGGAGGAGGAGGAGGAGGAGGAGGAGGAGGAGGAGAAGGAGGAGGAGGACCAGTGGGAAACCCAAGGGACATCAACGAAGATGGAATACACCCTCCATCCAAGCTCTCTCTTCATTGGCCCCTACAACGGTTCATGTCCACTGAGGGAACTACCTCGTTGAGAAACAACCGTTTGAAGACACTGAAGCATGCCAAAACAACGTTCTCGGGATCCCAGCGCCACGGATCAACCTGGCTGTTGCGTCTTGGCGATCTTGAACCGTGCCAGAACACCGTTTTTGAGATTTCAACACAGCGAGTCAACGTAACTGCTGCGCCCTCAGAGTGCTAAATCCTTCCGCATACACCATTGTTTGGCACGCTGATCATCCGAACCCGTGAAATTCTTATATAATTATTCAAAACGAAAATGCGCGGCGAACCACATTTTGAAAAAAAGAACCGCCCTCAATCCGTGAAACTTTCCCAAATGTTTAAAACGAACGTGCGCGGCGCTGGGGCGAGAACCACATGTTGAAAACTAACCGCCGTCAATCCGCGAAACCCCTGCACACTTTGAAAACAAGAATGCGCGGCGCTGGGGCGAGAACTACATTTTGAAAACCACACGCCCTCAATCCGCGGAAGTATTGCAAATTTGAAAACGAATGTGCGCCGCGCCAAAGCGAAAACAACATTTTGAAAACCACCCGCCCTCAATCCGTGGTACTCGTGCAGACTATGAAAACAAATGCGCGTGGCTCTAAGGCGAAAACCACACTTTGAAAACCGCACGACCCCAGTCTGTGAATCTCTTCAATTTTATACATTTCTCTTAACGAAAAAGTACGCGCCGCGCCACAGCGAGAGACCGAGAGACACATTTTGAAAACCACCTGCCCTCAATCCGTGAAACCCCTGCAAGCGTTTAAAACGAATGTGCGCGGCGCGAAGGGGAGAGCCACATTTTGAAAACCACCTGCCGTCAATCCGTGAAAGTGTCATTCCCCAAACAGCTTGCTGAACGGGGTGCAGTTGTTATAAAAGCTAACTCTGGCCGAAGGAATTCAGAGCAAAGACGTTCTCAAAAAAATTGTGGTGGTCCGGACCGTTTCGCCTTAGAAATCCTCGCAACTCTCGTTTCTGATGAGCTGTCCGGGATTGGGCGTTTCGCGTCAGACATCCTCCAAACTCTGAGTTCCCAGATGCCGCGCAAGAGGTGGTCTGGCCCGTTTCGCTTGAGACGTCCTCCAAACTCTGAGCTCCCAGATGCCGCGCAAGAGGTGGTCTGGCCCGTTTCGCTTGAGACATCCTCGAAACTCTGAGCTCCCAGATGCCGCGCGAGAGCTGGTCCGGCCCGTTTCGCCTGAGACATCCTCCAAACTCTGAGCTCCCAGATGCCGCGCGAGAGGTGATCTGGCCCGTATCGCCTGAGACATCCTCCAAACTTTGAGCTCTGAGATGCCGTGCGCGTTGTGGCCCAGCGCGTTTCGCTTGAGACATCCTCGCAACTCGAAGTTCTGAGATGCCGCGTAAGAGGTGGTCCAGCCAATTCGCCTGAGACATCCTCGAAACTCTGGGCTCCGAGATGCCGCGCAAGAGGTGGTCCGGCTGGTTTCGCCTGAGACATCGTCCAAACTCTGAGCCCTGATATGCTGTGCGAGAGGTGGTCTGGCCCGTTTTGCCTGAGACATCCTCGCAATTCTGCGCTCTCTGATGCCGCGCGAGAGGTGGTCCGGCCGTTTCGCTTGAGACATCCTCCAAACTCTGAGCCCCGAGTTCCGCCCCCAAAAAGTGGTCCGGCCCGTTCCACTTGAGACATCCTCGCACTTTTGCATGCCGAGATGCCGCGCGAGAGGTGGTCCGGCCCGTTTCGTTTGAGATGTCCTCAAAAACTTGAAGCTCTGAGATGCCGCGCGCGAGGTGGTCTGGCCCGTTTTGCCTGAGACATCCTCGAAACTCTGAGCTCTGAGCTGCCGCACAAGAGGTGATCCAGCCAATTCTTTACGCTTCGCGTATCCCCACCAGCCCATCTCACAGCAGCAACTCTCGCGAAGCATGCCGACAGTCGTGTTTTTCAGGCGTGTGTCCGCTTGGCCCCGCATATCTCCCCTGTTCCTCCTTCCTCGCGCCTCCTTGTACATCCTCCTTGTGAGGGGAGCGGGAGAAGGACGAGGCGGAGGAGGAGGGAGAGAAAGCGCTCCTCGTGATTTGAATCGTTTGGGGTTTCTCGTCCTTGTGTGAGTCGTTCGGGCCCTTCTTCCTGGTGTGAGTCGTTCGGGCTCTTCGTGGTGTGAGTCGTTCGGGCTCTTCGTCCTGGTGTGAGTCGTTCGGGCTTCGACGCACACCACCTGCATTCTGGTCGAGGACGTCGCCGTCGTGTGAGTCGACAGAGTCAGTTACGTGTAGGACTCGAGGACGACCGCCGTCTGCCTTGCCTCCCATCGCCTTCTCTCCCTCCTCCTCTTCCTCCTCTTCGGCTCCTAGTCGTAGTAGTAGAAGTAGTACCAGTCGGATCAGTTGTAGTACTGGTAGTGGTAGTAGCAGTAGTAGTAGTAGTAGTAGTAGTAGTAGTAGTAGTAGTAGTACGAGTAGTAGTAGTAGTAGTAGTAGTAGTAGTAGTAGTAGTAGTAGTAGTTGTTCTAGTAGTAGTGACAATAGTATCAGTAGTAGTAGTAGTAGTAGTAGTAGTAGTAGTAGTAGTAGTAGTAATAGTAGTAGTACTAAAAGTAGTGTAGTAGTAGTAGTAGTAGTAGTAGTAGTAGTAGTAGTAGTAGTAGTAGTAGTAGTAGTAGTAGTAGTAGTAGTAGTAGTAGTAGTAGTAGTAGTAGTAGTAGTAGTAGTAGTAGTAGTCGTCAGTACCAGCGGTAGTAGCAAACGTAGTCGTCAACGTCGTCGTCGCACTAGTTGCCTCAGTAACAGAGGCAGTCACTAGAGCAGTGGTCTGTATGGAAGTTGTGGTAGTAGTAAGTGTAGTGTAGTGGTAGTGGTAGTGTAGTAGTGTAGTAGTAGTGTAGTGTAGTAGTAGTAGTAGTAGTAGTAGTAGTAGTAGTAGTAGTAGTAGTAGTAGTAGTAGTAGTAGTAGTAGTAGTAGTAGTAGTAGTAGTAGTAGTAGTAGTAGTAGTAGTAGTAGTAGTAGTAGTGGTAGTAGTTCTAGTAGTAGTAGTAGGACAAATAGTAGTACGAGTAGATCTTGTAGTAGTCGTAAGAGTAGTTGTACTTGTAGTAGTAGTAGTAGTACGAGATGATGTAGTCAAACGAGTATGAGTAGTAGTAGTACAAGTAGTAGTACTCGCAGGGGAAAAAGTAGTAGTAGATGTCTTTTTGAAGCTGCTCGGAGGCCTCTTGGGGCGTCTTCGGCGCCTCTTGGGGCCTCTTGGGGACCTCTTGGGGGTATCTTTGGGGCCTCATGGAGGCCTCGTGGTGCCTCCTGGGGACCTCTTGTGGGCCATCTGGGGACCTCTTGGGGCCATATGGTGGACCTCTGGGGGCCCTCTTGGGGGGCTTGTATGAGCGCTGCCCCTCCTCCTGGTGTGACTCGTTCGGGCTCCTCGTGGTGTGAGTCGTTCGAGACCCGCGTCGTGGTGTGAGTCGTTCGGGCTCCTCGTGGTGTGAGTCGGTCGGGCGCCTCGTCCTGGTATGAGTCGTTCGGGCCCCTCCTTGCGGTGTGAGTCGTTCGGGCTCTTCGTGGTGTGAGTCGTTCGGGCCCCTCGTCCTGGTGTGAGTCGTTCGGGCTCCTCGTGGGGCCTCTTGG